TTTGACAGTTTATAAAGTAAGACGTGAAGTTTTTAATTTTGTTTGTCTTACCCTCTCGGAATTCGTATTCGTGGCTCTGAATTCAACCCTTAAAGCGGGGCAGATTTCATATAATGATCTACATATATTGATATTAATTACATATCAATAATATCAACAAAAATATAACGATAGAAGTGGTCTGAAAACTTTAATGTGGTATAATAGATTTTATTGAACCATTTTATTTGTTGTTTGAAATCTCTAACTACCTTACGTTCTAATCTTCTTTATTATTACATATCCATTCTATCAACTAGTTTAATTGGCTTTTGAGGAATTCTTCTATTTCTTCGAGTATAATTATAGACTATTTATAATATGAATTGATATTAAAGGCCGGATTGTTCAAATATTAATAAGTTAAACTACAAGACTATCTGACAGTTATAAACCTTTTTTTAAATTGGTTTATTTTTCATATTAGCTTTTTGCGCTTTACTTTCTGCCAAATAAATTGGGTTAGGGTTCTTACAACATTAAAGACAATTGTTATATAAATTTTATTATCTGGCAACATTTATTTACAAAATATATTGCACCTGTGGGTTGCTTTAAGGTAAAATTTGATTGTTTAAATTATATATTTTTGCTATGTAATAAATTTATCAAACCTACTAATTTCAATAGGTTTTTTGCAGTATTTTTAAAGTTCATCGCTATTGTCATTACGTATTATCATTACTTTATAATGAAAATACATTTTTGGTTAGTATAAGTAACTAAGCGCAAACTAATAAGTAAAAATATTTATCCGCCCGCATTTTAATGCATCGAATGCTTTCAATTATTTGGTATGCTATTTTAATATCAAAATAGCTTGCTAGTTATCTAACAAATACGAATTCTCTATAACTAAAGCCCTTATCGTACAAAATAATTAATAAATATTAGAGTTGGATTCAAAATGAATCCTTTTACTATAGAAAATAAAATGTTTTCAAGTTTTTTAGAAGGAGAAAGTGATACATATAAGGATTCAGATCATGAATATGTTCTTTTAGACGATGATTTTAATTATAGTCATTCTGATACACAATCAGAGATTTCTTCAACTACAACAAAGACTAGTAATTATTTAGAAAACAATAATACAGATTTTCCTTTTACAGAAGCAATATCGAATTTTATTAAAGCGTATACTGATTCAGAACAAAATAATTTTGATGAAGCTAATATTGATTGGCTTAATTCTGAAATAGATTATACATCAGAAACTGGATCCATTAATAGTTGCATAATAGACTTGGACAATGAAAAAGAACTAGATTTAGATATTAGCAATTGCGGTAAAATTAGTGAATTTTCACAGCAATGTGTTATACTAGATATTAAGAATGGAACAATACAACGATGTATGAATTCAAGGTTTAGACCATTGAAACAACTATGCAGTATTTAGGAATCGGATTTTCAAACTGTAGATTCTATAATTAAGCAAGATAAAATAAAAGTATTAGAAACTCTTAGTGTGTGCTCATCACATTTTAACTTTGATCAAGATGGTTTACACGAACATGGTATAAAACAACGGGCATCAATTCAAAAGTCTTTAATTCACAAATGTTGTTGTCTGTTTTGTCATATTGATAAATATTTTTTTAGCAGAGGTGAAAGATTTGAAGCTCATTCTTGGACTGCACTAGAACGAAATATACGTTTACCATGCAAGGGCTTAAAAAATTGTAACATTTTTAATAATATTTTATTAGC